CTTTGCAGTATTTATCAGTTTCTTTTTTTCCCCTGGAACTTGTTTTCAGATGTTTTCATGTCTAATCATAACGTTGACATTATTTACATTCACCTGTGTTTCAGCTTTGTCAGTGATGGTCCTTACTGAGCAGAGTGAATGCAGTGAAGCTTTTATTAAATTAAAGATGCAATCTGTGCTGAAAATGTTTATGTCAGTATAACTACTTCAAATGAGTCATCTAAACCAGTATTCTGTAGTAATAGCACAAATAAAATGCAAATGTAACAACACTACTGTTATGATTTATACATTTATTTTTGTTAAAGTTGAACATGTGTGTACAGGAATGTGCAAAGTTTTGTGAAAAGCATCAGTACTTGATGCTTTTTACTAACAAGAAAAACGTTTTAAATATGCAGGTAAATTCAGATTACTATGTTGCATAATGCCAGTTTGAGATTTCATGAGTAAACAGAGAAAGTGGCATTAACTATTAAGTAAGTAAAGTGTTTTTTTTAAAAAGCGCAAGAAAATCCAATTAATAAAAGCTAGAAGTCAAAATAGTAATGTCACGGGTCAGATTCTCTTTTTTCCTGTTTCATGATATTGAACCATCTCTTCCAGCTGAATCACCAGATAGTCCACAGTGAGAGGACAGTATTCATCCAAGGATGCTTCTAGGAAAAATGTCCAGTAAAAGCTTGTTTGTTGACATGGGCAGAGATCATTAGCACAGGAAAAGTGCAGAGGAGAGGCTGTTAAGGAACAGCTGGCACTAACTGAGAGTTTAACAGTTAAAATGAAACATTTACTCAGGAGGCAGACACTATGTCTACTTTTAAGATTAGGCTTCAAACTTTCCTTTTTGATAAAGCATATATAGGGCTGCATCAGGTGACACTGAATCCTCCCTTAGTTATGCTGCAATAGGTGTAGGCTGCTGGAGCATTCCCATGATGCATTGAGTATTTCTTCTTCAGTCACCTTTCTCACTCACTATGTGTTAATAGACCTCTCTGCATTGAATCATATCTGTTATTAATCTCTTTCTCTCTTCCACAGCACGTCTTTTATCCTGTCTTTCTGCTCTCTCCCCAACCGGTAGCAACAGATGGCCGCCCCTCCCTGAGCCTTGTTCTGCTGGGGGCTTCTTCCTGCTAGAAGGGAGTTTTTCTTTCCCACAATGCTTCCTCATAGGGGTCATATGATTGGTGGATTTTTCTCTGTATGTATTATTGTAGGGTCTACCATACAATATAAAGTGCCTTGAGGCGACTGTTGCTGTGATTTGTCACTGGCACTAGAATTGAATTGCCACTAAAGATAAAGATAAACCATTTTGAACAATCAAAGCTGTCCGATGATGCCTCAAAGTTTTAAAAAGAAAAATATGTAAGAATGTTGAGTCTCAGTGTGGAAAAGTTCTCCTTGCAGCAACAGATAAATCGCCAGTCCTTTACCTGTTGCAGAACGGATCTTCCACTTCTTTTCTGAAGTCGTTGTTATCATGTGACCAAAGGGGAGCGCATACCAGACAGAAAGCTGCAAAAAAAACCAAACTATTAAATTATATCTGAAAAATCCAGAGCTGTGAGGAGACTAATCATGCCTAACTAAACACTACATAACCATCTAATAAGAGCCCAATCCTAATATGTCCTCACAATTCCTCACAAACACTATCAAGTGCCATTACCCCAATTAAAATTTGTTAGCATCCATTTCTTAGCATTTCTTAGCTGACTTGTACCTTTACAGGAATTACTTTACAGGTACAAGTCATTCTTTAACTTGGGGGAGACTGTAGGTAGGAAGTGACACACTTTCAAAATAAATGCATGCAACCAAAAAAGTGCAACAAAACTACACAATAAAACGCACATAATAAAATATTAAAATGGCTTTCACCCTAGACAATCACATAACTAAATACAACAATGACTGTGTAAATCTGAGTCCTTGTTCATCAGCTCATCAATGTGATCTGAGACCTTTAAGTCTTTTGTTTGATGTCCAAATTAAGGAGTTTAAATTTGACAAACTAACTTTAGTTGTATACTTGGCCATCCGTCTTCTCTCCATTTCAATTCATCTTGTCATTTTACAACATACAGTTCACTGGCAACAATAATGCTATCACACAGATACTGAGAGTTCACAGTACTGCAGCTGATGTGTCTGTAGTGGGATATTTTCAGGTTATGTGCTGTTATCATCCAAACAGACCAAATTTCCGTATTTTTTTTTACGTGTGACCAACTTCACATGAAACTACTGATACTGCCATCACCTTTAGCTATACCTTATGTTTAGTACTATATAAAGGGTGAAAGCTCACACAAGTTTGGTGGTGGTGGTGGTGGTGGTGGTGGGGGGGATATCTCTGTAGCAAGTAAGAACCAGTCTAGTCAAGTTCTGGCAGAAGTAAACTGCTTTTGTGTGGTGCCTGTAGTGGTACCCGTGGTTTTGTTTGGTTGGTTGTTTATTACTGATAAAAAAGATAAAGTATAGTTTATGTACTTAGATAGCAGTTGTCAGATTTGACTTTGGTAAATGGCCTGTATTTGTAGTGCTCTTACTTAGTCCCTAAGGACCCCAAAGCACTTTACACTACATTCAGTCATTCACACACTGGTGATAGCAAGCTACATTGTATCCACAGCTGCTCTGGGACACACTGACAGAGGTGAGGCTGCCAGACACGGGCACCACCAGTAGGTGGGGTGAAGTGTCTTGCCCAAGGATACGACGAGTGAGACTGAGCCGGGGCTTGAACCGGCAACCTTCCGATTACAAGACAAACTGCCAACTCTTGAGCCACGATCGCCCCAGGTGATAGTTGTTTTAATATAGATTAATACTACAGGAGTATTTCAGATCATGGAAAATGAATAAATCCATGTGTGGGAGAGCTATTCTATGCACTGAAGAGGCTTGATGATAGATAGGGGGCCAGTTAGAAGTTAACTGAGATCGAATGTATTTAAAGTAACTTAAAAAGGCTAAATGTTATGATTCACCAAGTTCTGGTGAAGGAATGCAGGAGAAAATAAAGTGAGCTAATTATAATCAAGACCTGTTTAAAATGCTTTTCAGGCTACATATTTAACGTGTCCTTTAAGCTTTAAGTTTATTGTTTATGTTTGTTTTTAATAGAATAGACAGATTCATTCAGAAAACCTGTTTAAAACTGTTTTCACAACTGAATAAATTATTGCACTCTTTTTTGAGAAATTGAATAAAGACAACATGAAGGGTAAGTTTACTATAAGAAGGGCAGTAATCCGATTACTTTTTTCAAGTAACTTGACCAACACTGGTGCTGATGAATCTCTTTCTCTCTTAAATCTATTGGTGTTCTTTGAATTTTAATACTTTTGCCTTTTTTCTAAATCTACAAATATCCCAGCTGTAAAATTCAATTGGTAGCAAATTAATTAGTGGCAAAAAAAAATAAATCTGTAAACTTGTACACTCTATATTTATACACTTCCAGATCATTGAATTCAGGTTTTCCAAACACTTCCATGGCCACATATGTATAAAATCAAGCAACTAGGCATGTAGACTGCTTCTACAAACATACACACAGTGCACAGAGGTCCCCAACCTTCAGCAGAGTCAATCGCTACAGAACTCCAAACTTTATGTGGCCTTCAATTTAGCTCAAGAACACTGTGTGGAGTGCTTCATGCAGCTGCATCCAAGCCATGCATCATCAAGTGTAATACAAAGTGTCGGATGCAGTGGTTATGTGATGGGGATGCACGCCACTACTGGACTCTGGAGCACTGGAGACATGTTCTCTGGAGTGATGAATCCCACTTCTCCATCTGGCAATCCGATGGGTGAGACTGGGCTTGGCAGTTGCCATGACAATGGTACTTGTCTGGAGTTGTCCTTGGCCTCTTTAATGCTTCAGCACACCAAGACATTTTGTGCAATTTCATGATCCTAACTTCTTGGAAACAGATGGCTCCTTCTTGTTCCAACATGACTACACATCAGTGTGCACAGCAAGGTCCATAAACATGTAGATGAGTGAGTTTGGTGTGGAAAAACCTGACTGGCCTGCACAGAGTCCTGACCTCAACCTGACAGAGCATCTTTGGGATGAATTAGAGCAGAGACTGTGAGCCAGGTCTCACAAATGCACTTCTGGAAGAATGATCAAAATTAGCAAACCAGGGTTCCTCCCTGTCCAGGATGTGTTCATCCTCATCATTGAAAGAGTGTCCACTGGTCTCTAGGTTTAAATAGACTGCAGAGCACTGGTCTGACAAGTTAGCTCTTCTGTGTTGTCCCATCTGCTTCCCTAGAGGTTGTTTGGTTTTCCCGATGTATAAATCATCTTACAGAAAGATACACAAATTATATACAAAACAGAACAGCAATAATAAAAATGTAATGAAAATATATGAAGTTAAAGCCACGCAAAGGTAAAATTTTAACAGCAAATAGGTTTTCTGCTATGTTTCTGCTGATAAGTGAAACCCACAGCAGGGTGTGGTTTGTGACTCAGCTGCAGGGAAGGGTGGTACAGGGGTTTCAGGGGCAGTGCCAGGGGAGGCTGGC